TCATGGCGCCACCCGGACGCCGGAGAGGCAACCTCTCACCGGGAGCCATGCTCCTCGGTCTCTTCTTCCTTTTCTCGACGACCGCCTCCGCCGCCTCAGCCGTCATCGGTGTAGACCTAGGCACCGAATACATCAAAGCCGCGCTCGTAAAGCCCGGTGTTCCCCTCGAAATCGTCCTGACCAAAGACTCGAAACGGAAAGAGACGTCAGCCGTCGCTTTCAAGCCCTCCAAGAGCGGCGCTTTACCTGCGGGCTCCTTCCCCGAGCGCTTCTACGGCGGCGATGCGATTGCGCTCCAGGGACGCTTCCCGGGCGATGTATACCCGAATCTGAAACACCTTCTTGGTGTGTCGAGTGAGAGCGATATTGTAGGCACGTACAAGGAGAGATACCCTGCGTTGGAGGTTGCAGGAACGGACAAGCGCAACACGGTTAGCTTTATGAGCAGCGTCTTCGCTGAGGACAAATCATACACCGTTGAGGAGCTACTGGCTATGGAGTTGAAGAACGTCAGGGAGAACGCAAAGGCGATGGCGGGCAAGGGCTACGATATCCAGGACGTTGTCTTTACGGTTCCGGCATTCTACACGGTAGACGAGAGGCGCGCGCTTGAGGTTGCTGCTCGTCTGGCTGGTCTCAAGGTGCTCAGCGTTGTTTCAGATGGGCTGGCTGTTGGTCTCAACTATGCTACTGGCAGGACTTTCCCCGACGTTACCAAGGATGGTAAGCCGGAGACGAACCTCGTGTTTGACATGGGCGCTGGATCCTTGTCGGCTACTGTTCTCAAGTTCCAGGGCAGGTCTGTCAAGGATGTTGGTAGGCGCAACAAGACTATCCAGGAGGTTCAGGTCATGGGCGCTGGCTGGGATAGGACGCTTGGAGGTGATGCGATGAACTCGCTCATCGTCGACGACATGGTGGCTACCTTTGTTGAGCTTCCAGCTGCCAAGAGCGCTTCTTTCACCGCCGACAAGGTCAAGGGTCATGGACGTACCGCCGCGAAGCTCTTCAAGGAGGCTGAGAGGGTTCGCCAGATGCTCAGCGCTAACAAGGAAACTAACTCTTTCTTCGAGAGCTTCTACGAGGATGTCGACTTCAAGTACAAGCTCTCTCGCACCAAGTTTGAGGAGCTCACTGCCGACTACGCCAAGCGTATCGATGGACCGATCAACCAGGCCCTCGCAGCCGCTGGTCTTACATTCGCTGATATCGACTCTGTCATCGTCCACGGTGGCGCGAGCCGCACACCCTTTGTCCAGGCCCGTCTCGAAGCAGTCGCAGGCAAGAGCAAGATCAGGGCAAACGTCAACGCCGACGAGGCCGCCGTATTTGGCGCTGCATTCAAGGCCGCTGGTCTCAGCCCATCTTTCCGCGTCAAGGAGATCCGCGACTCGGACACCCAGGGCTACAACCACGGCTACCAGTACATGCTCAACCTTAAGGAGCGCGACCAGAAGATCTTCACTCCCAACACCAAGCTTGGAGCGACCAAGGACCTGCCTTTCAACTTCATGGGCGAGTTCGAGTTCACCATGTACCAGGCTGTTCCTGGCGCTAACGGCGAGGTGTCCAAGGAGCCTACTCTTCACTTCCAGAGCGGTAACTTGACTAAGGTTGTTACTCACATGATCAACGAGAACAAGTGCGAGCGCGACAGCTTCAACAACTATGTTCAGGTCAGGCTCAGCCCCGTTACTGGTACTCCTGAGGTCTTGTCTGCGTGGGTTACCTGCGAGACTGAGAGCGAGGATGTCAAGGGCGGCATTGTCGATGGTGTCAAGAATCTGTTTGGTATGGGTGGCAAGAAGGACCAGGAGCCGTTGAAGGAGGGCGAGAGCTCTTCTTCTTCATCTGCCTCGTCCTCCAAGTCCTCCAAGTCTTCGTCCTCTTCGTCTTCCGCAGGTGCTGAGAGCACTGATGCTGCGAAGGCTGGAGAGAAGAAGATCAAGACTGTTAGGTCGGCAATCACATACGACGTTGAGCAACTGGGTTACAAGAAGTTCCCTCGCAAGGAGTTGAAGAGGATGCAGGACAGGTGAGTTTGTGAGTTTTGTTGTATGCTTTCAAAGACTAACGTCGACAGGCTTGCCGCTTTCGATTCATCTGACAAGTCTCGCCGCACCCGCGAAGAGGTCTTGAACTCGCTTGAAGCCTTCACCTACCGCGCCCGCGACTACCTCGAGGACGAATCCTTCATCGGAGCTTCCACCTCTGCCGTCCGCGAAACACTCGAAAAGACACTCAGCGCCGCCTCAGACTGGATGTACTCCGGCGGTGCCGATGCCGACGAGAAGACTCTCAGGAGCAAGCTTAAGGAGCTCGAGAACATTGTCAACCCAGTCATGAAGCGCAAGGACGAAGCCTCCAAGCGCCCCGATGCCATCAAAGAGCTCAAAGACACAATCGCCCACATCAAGGAAGTCGAGCAACTAGTTGACGGCCAGATCAAAACGCAATCCGCCGAGAGCTCCAAGAGCAGCGAAGCCGTCTCCAAGGCCTCCGCTGACGCTTCCGCCTCACCTTCCACCGACCCCATGGACGAGCTTGACGAAGAGGCCGAAGCACCCGCCGCGCCTGAAATCACCGAAGTCCCTACCATCTACACCGAATCCGACCTCAAGACCGTCCAAGAGCACGCACAAAAAGCACAGGTCTGGCTCGACGACAACGAAGCCAAACAAGCTGAACTTGGTCCCACAGATGATCCCGTCTTCACAGTTAAAGACATCCTGGCTGAGAAGAAGAAGCTAGACGACGTCGTCATGGACATGATGATGAAGAAGATGAAGCACTTCAAGCCCCCGAACCAATCCAGTTCCAAGACCAAGACTGCTAAGCCCAAGACGAAGAAGGCGAAGAGGACGAAGACGAAGAAATCTGCCAAGGCTGAGACGAAGGAGACTGAGGCTCCGGCTGCAGATGGTGAGAGCGGGCCTAGTCAAGCGGAGTTGGAGGAGGCGTTGAAGAAGGCGGGGTTCAGTGCTGAGGGTATTAAGCTGAGCAATATGGGGAGTCAGACGGATGGAGAAGGGGAGGGGGATGTAACGGATGAAAAGGGCAGGTTGCTGAAGAAATTGGATATTGGAGAGGGGGCGAGTGAGGAGGATATTAAGGCTGCTATTGATCGGTTGGTGGCGCAGGGGGGGAAGGAGGATGGGAAGGGGAAGAGGGAGGAGGGGAGTGATGAGTTGTAGATGACGTTGGTGGGAGGTGCATGACATGTGCAGGGGAAAGTAGGGAATGCGAGAAGGGGGAATAGATGCATAGATCGATCGATTAAGATGGCAATGTGAGTTTGAATACGAATGTAAATCGTCAAACATGTGTGCTGTTTTTCTACCCCTCCGTCCTGTTCTTCCGTCTTCGTCTTCTGGAAGATACAGCCAAAACCAACCAGGGAGAATCCAATATGGAGCCCCATCCCTTGGACTCACGACATACGTTCCGTCTCTAACAAGTATCAGGTATCCCGGCCTTTGATCATCACTTTTGCTACTCCTTGGTCACTCAGCCTGAGATGTGTATACGAGAAATGAAATTCTGGTCATGTAAGATGAGACGAGCAGTGCTTCCGCGATCGTAGGGGGTGGTACGGAATGGTGCAGAGAGAGGAAGAGAAGTGCTGAGGAACAGATGGTTGTTCAGAGGAATAGGGATATGTATAGTTTTCGCAAGTAATTGTGTTAGGTTAGTGCGCTGCGAGGAGAGTACGTTGTCCTTTTAAACTTCTAGCCGTGGTATGCTTGGTAGGCGAGAAGAATACGTGTATTAGTGTGGGAGAGGCGGGGAGGATAGAAGTGTACCGCGGAGAATCCAAAGTCGTGTATCAAATTGCTACAATATGCTTTTAGCGGGCGAGAAGAGTACACAGATTACACTGTAAATAGATAGCTATATCTCACCTCACCCGGAGGCCTACGTAGATCACTCACCACCGCTAGAGAATCCACATCCTGAACCCAGAAGCCCTCGCTGTTCCACCCCACTCGCTTATACTCACTATATGCAGTGTTTCGGTCTTTCGGAAGGGTGATATCAGTACGAATCATGAGTACTTTAGACACCTGTATGCACGTGGTTGTGATTCGGCGGGGGCCTACTACATACAGAAGCATATGGTCTGCGGGGTAGAGGAGGTTATCGTGCTACATGTTACGGATGTAGTTGTCGTCGCATTAGGAGTTGTGAAGGCGTCAGACGCTGCTCAGATTCGGTGGCTGTAAGATCTTAGTGGGAAGTAGACGTCTATCGCAGTACAGCCAATCGGGTCCTTCATTCTACTAGATAGTAGTAGTATCCGCGCTATTCTTGAGGACATCCTCCTACGCTATCCTGCTCATCGGGCTGGTTCAGGCCCACCTTTACTCACCGACAGGCGCGACTTCCTCCCTACGTCCTTCCTCCTCATCACCATCGCTCTCTCGAGCGCGCTTCCTAGTCCGCATCTTCTGGCTTAGGGCGCCCTGGACCCACAGAATCATGTGGGAACCGGGGGGATTTGCGTGTTCTGGAGGATAGAGGATCGAATCAGCGCGCTTAAACTCTGCATACGCGAGAGCCTTGTTGTCGGGGAAGTCAAGCGAGCTTCGAACGAGAGACTCGGTCGCCGAGCTCTGACACACTGCTGTCGCCTTTGAAGGCGGAAGAATGTACTGGGACAGGAGACCTGCGAGCTAGAGGGGGTTCTTGCGGTACGTGCTACGCAGTAAGGCGGCATCCCACACAAAGGACACGAAAACGTCTTGGTCCCAACTGGCTTCCCAGACAGCACACTTGTCGTTGTTTGCCATTTGTGCGTAGTAGGGTTCAGCTGTGGGCACTTCTGCGAGGTTACGGCATGGGCCGTTGTTGGTTGGAGCCAGACCGCGTTAATACCTATGCTTGGAGGTTCTCGATGCGGTCCCAAATTGCTTGAAGCTCTTTGGGGCTGTCTGTAGTGTCCCCAACTTCCGAGTAGGGCTTGTTCGGCGCCACCGAGCTGCAGTGCCGCTTCTAGGTGGTTATGCCCGTGTGACTTTGGATCGGTTTTCTGTGCGCTCGCCGAAGGGCGCGGCGAGCGCCGGGGGCGCGACTACCTCCCCGTCTGAACCAGATCGAGATGCTGGACAGGTCGTAGGAATGATGCCCTCTCGATGACCGCAGAGGAAGGCGAGCTCGTCCCGAGCGCCCTGGAGTTCAACTTGTGTCACGCCGTCCTTCGCCGACAAGTCTTCCAACGCATCTTCTACAGTCTGGATTTCTGCCTCTACCCCCAGACAGACGTGTTCTTGATGGGCGCGCAGAGCTTTCTTGTTCGCTTCGCGGCGCGTGAGGTGTAATGCGCGATTCTCAGGCGTCTCGCCCTCCGGGATCAGCTTCAAGAGCTTTGACATGCGCTGGAGGTTGTTAATGATAACTTGATAGTCCGACCAGCATGTCTCGCCCTCGACAAAAGCTTGAAGCCACGAGGGAGTTACAATCCAGTTAGAGGTGATGGTATCTACGGACTTTTTGATGACACTCTCGAGTTGTCCGGCATTTGCCTGCGGGCCTCCGAGGATTGTGCTGTAGTGGATTGGAACGACTTGAGACCACCTAGCCATAACAAGCTTCATCATGTTCCGCGGAACCTTGTTGTTGTTGGGCTGATTTCCTGGGAGATTCTGCCACTCGTTGGCTGCTCTCGCAGGGTCTCGCTCGTTCAGGTCTGACATCTTGTGTGTCGGTATAGTATTAACAGTGGCGACAACCTTTTTGATTGTATGCTCGAGCCTTCTGGCATCCGCCTGTTGCGGCAACGTAGGTGGTTTTGTAGTAGCCAGAGCCCACTTTGGGATATCACTCTGTTACTCACCAACCGCATCGTATTCCTCTGGCTCTCCAATGTTATTCAGATAGTCTTCAAACATCCGCTCGTAGGCCTCCGCCTCTCTTGAAATATCTCATTCGCTAAGATCTAACCGTATTGTAGGCACCGCGCTCAGTCATTCCAAGGTCGCACTCATACGACTCAGGTTATTGATGTAGGCTTGGTGGTCACCCGTCTGGGTGTGCTCGATGTGGATCCTGACTGCCTTCTTGTATGCGCGCTGCAGAGCTCGGCGGTCGGTCCTCTGCAAGGGAGTCTCATTTTGCTGTGGTACTTTGAGCAGGAGTCGAAATCGGTTGAGATTGTTGATATGGTCTTGAAGATCGTGCCAACCGGTCTCTCCCTTGATGTAGGCTTGGACCCAAGAGGACTGGCCGATCCAGCTGGTCTGCATGGTGTTTACCATGCTGACTAAAGCCTTCACGTCCTCACTCTTACTGTCGTTTTGGCTCACGCCCAGAATAGTTGGGTAGTGAACTGGGTCTACGGCGGACTATCTCGCCATGATCAACTTGACCGCATTTCTCTGATGGTTCATGGTGTTGACTGTCTGACTGAGCTCTGCTGTGTATAGGTCTCCTGCCCTTGATGGCTCGCGCTCTTTCAGGTCATCCATGCGGTGACTTTGCAGAACGGGGCAATTGACCGGCCCAAGGTAATATGCGGGTGAAGAGGGTATGGTGTTCATGATGGAGATGGTGGTGGTGATGGAGAGATAGATAGGAATAGGATATTACCGAAGAGAATTCGTGGTGCTGTTGGGCTAGTCTTGCCGATGAGAAGTTACCCTGTGGAGACTCTAAAGCGAGATAACGTGCAAGCTGGGCAAGTGTAGGAATGATCTCGAGGCATACGATGCTGGGGAAACGAGGTGAAACACTTAGCAAGGCCAACCCTGGGAGTATCCATAGCACTGCTGTCGTAGAGTTGCATCGAGTACAATATCACGTAGACTTATATCTAACTTGTGCAATACAGAATGCTGGGCTTTAGTATCTTTGTAGGCGTCTGGCTCTGGTGTTGTTCAACGACGATGTTGACACCAACCTCTGTTCTCTTGAGCTCTCAAGACTAGTTCTGAGGCATCACCGCTACACCCTAAGGGCAAGCCAATCCCGTAAAACCACGCTGCTCATAGAAATTCATGTCTACAATCTACCTACCCAGTATGTGTCGGATATAGTGTTCTCAGCCCATTCACCCTCGGAATCCGGACAACCACCGCTGACGCCGAGCTTGTTCTTCAGCCTGTTTCTGGACTTGTTTCTGGGCTTCTTCTTGGGCTTCCCCTATGCGCTGTCTTATTTTCTTTTTTAGGCTCTCATCCCACTGCGCAACCTTTTGTTTCATGTCGGCCGCCCACTCCGCATCTCTTTCTTTCTGCTTCGCATCTACTTCTTGTTGCTCAACCTTATTGTTGTGTAGATATCGGTCTTGAATCTTGCGATAGTCGTGGACGACGAATCTTATTTGTTCGCGAGTCAAGGTAGACCAGAACTATTGAAGGCGTTAGTAGACTGCATTCCTGTGTAGAAAGTACGACTTTAGGAAAAGGCTTACCGGTTCAGTTGACGATGCAGCATCGGTCGATGAGGCGGCTTTGATCGCTGAAGCAGCCTCGATTGTCGGCATGGCGTTGGTTGCTACCGGTAGCGTGACTGTGACTGTAGTAGGCGTGGCTACCGGTAGCGTGACCGTGACCGTAGTAGGCGTGGCCGTCATCTGGACTGCTTTCGCTTCTAGCGCATATGAACAACGTTCGGGCGAAGAAGATCGCTGATAGCCACATATTATGACGGCGGCGAAGAGTAGCACAACGACCACAAACGACCCGTAACACCCGTTCATCTCGCGTTCGTAATCCTTCTTCTGATTCTCATTTTGGTCCTGAAGGCTTTTATTCTGGTCCTGCAGGTTCTTATACTTGTCCTGAAGATTATTCATAGTCTGTCGATGGAGATCTAATCTGGCCTGAACTTCCTGCGCTCGCTTAACGAAGTATGGAGCTGACCATTCCCATGATGTCGTCTGGGTTGCGGATGTGGCTTGAGCCGCGGATATGACCTTTGCGTTTTTGGTCATTGCTGCGTCTGGTGTAGATTTGATTGCTTTGTGTGATAAAGAACACAGAGACAGCCTGTGTAAGAGTTAAGATATTTAGGAGGGAGGAAGAGCGAGATCGCTGTAAATTCAAAAAATCCAGAAGTTCATACTCTGGTTCTATCCACTCCATCCCATGGTACTGTGATGACCTGGAGACAACGAGCCAACCGCACCTTCCAAAATTCACACGATTTATTGCGAATGATGAGTATCGCAACTCCAAAAACCCGCGTTGCTCAACAATCTCTATTGGAGCGGCCTATCTCTTGTCCCACCAAATCTACCCTACTAATCGCTTCGTCATTACAATTCATCCCTCTCGTTACCGTCTTCTCTCGCAATACTCTTCGCCTCAAACTGATCGTCCTCTGGCGCGATTCTTCGTAGTCGGAAGACGCGAGCAGCGTGACTCTTGACGCCTGCCTTGAGCCTACCGCCAGCCTCAACAACGCCAATCTTCTCGCCAAAGAGCCGCGGGTCCTCCTGAACTAGACCCTTGGCGTAAGGGATCTCGGTAGCGTTGTACCAGTTGGCCTTTGACAAGATCGACTCTCTCTCCGTGTGCGAGGCCGCTGCGAGGAGCTCTTCCGCCGTCGATTCCGACATGCGATGGGCCCAAAGGTCGTGGATGGCCCAGTCATATTTGACGTGGGGCGCTGATCCACCGGGTCCGTACGGGATGAAGATCTCGGCGAGGGAGACGCTCATCTCCATGTCTTCGCCACCAGCGTTGAGCAAGATCACGACTTCATCGCCGTTCTGGAGATGGCCTGCCCACACGTGCGTCTCGCCCATGCCCCACTCGTCTTTCGCTACACCTTCCGTATCCCTTCGAACACGCGTTACGCTACGTCCATGGGGATCCTGGCTCAGCGCAATAATGGCTGGATTATTGATGATGGTGAGAGTGGAAGCTGGCATGTTGCGCAGGTCGTTTCCGAGGAATAACGGAGACTTGATGGCGGCCCAGAGAGCGAAATGTGCTTTGTACTCTTCGTCAGTCATACCGCCTTGGCCGACCTCGAGCATGTCCAGATCGCTCCATCCACCAGGAATACTGCGATCGGCAAAGGGCGCGACTTTGTTGAGAATGAAAAGAACGGAGCAATGTGTGCCGGGTGCTACGCAGTTGACGTCGCCCGGTGATACGGTGTTGCATCCGCATAAATCATCAGGACGAGAGAAAGAGTCGTAGATGTCGCCTGTAATGCGCCAGCTGTTGGAGATACTCATACCCCACTGGTGATGGTAAGTCCTTGAACGTCGTAGCGGACAGGTATCTCATGGTGCTTACTGTGTGGACAAGATCCTCTCCCCAGTTGCACAGATTGAGGAGAATGTTCCTTCCTGTTGATTTCAAAGCATCTGACATGACTTTGAAGCGGTTGAATGAGACCGAAGGTGTGCCAACACGACCCATGTGGTAGCAGCTGTCGTACTTCAACATATCGACACCCCAGCTTGCAAAACTTTCTGCATCGTCGACCTCGTGGTCTAGCGAGCCCTCTACTTTGAGTTAGTTTGATGCAAGAGGTATGTTTATTTGATTCATCTTACCAAATCTCGCACATGTCATTTCACCAGCGCTGCTGTACATGCCAAACTTGAAGTCTTGGCTATGGAGATGATCTGAGATAGATTTCAGACCGTTGGGGAACTTGTCGAGCGCCGGTTGAAGCTTTCCCTTCTTGTCTCGACCCTTTGGGTTCTGCCAACAGTCGTCTAGTACGACATAGTTGTAGCCCAAGTCTCGCAAGCCTAAGCTCACGATCTGTGCGGAGGTTGTAAGGAGAAGGTCTTCGGAGACGTCGCATCCAAAAGCGTTCCAATTGTTCTGATCTTGTTAATGATAATTCAGGAGTAGGATACGAATATCTTACCCAGCCCATTGGTGGGGTAGTAGCGAGGCCATTGTTGATCGCTGTCGCGCTGCCCAGCAGCGTCGTGACCACGAGAATGGTGCTGCGTGATAGAGCCATGACTTGAGTGCGAAGTTGATTCTTGCTTCAAGCAAAGAAGCACAATCCAGACTCTTAAACAGCTTTACACGTGTGTACTACTTCGAGTGGACCGCAAACGTGAGTGACGGACCCTGTCGCCAAGCCCTGGCTCTCTTGGGGCTCCACACTCCAGGAAAGCTCGTAAGTTTCGCGACGCTAGTCTCGGCTCCACCATCACGCTTGAGCCGTAATGAACCACTTCGCTGCCGTCCTCGTTTCCAGGTTCCCCAGCATGCTGCTTAGAATCTCAGTCGCGCATGATCACATGGACAGGCCTGAATAGCACGACAATGGGGATTGCCTGCTCAATGCGAGCAACGCTTCGTACTCGGGGTCGTTATCCCTTGGCTCGAGCTCCATGTGAGGGGCAAATTGGACCAGGAAGCGCAGCAGCCACCGATCAAGCACAAAGCTGGTCTCTTTGCTTCGGAGACAGGTCTGGTGGAACGCCCGAAGACGACTCATTGCACCGTCGACACTCGGCCAATAGGTCTTCAGCCGCAGGAGTATCTCGAAGTTGCGTTCCAATCTGGTCTTTGAGATGCGTATCTGGCTTTCGTCACCGGAAAAGAGTAAGGTGTGGATTTGAACGGTGGAAGCAACGACAAGGATATGCGAAACTGCCGGATACAAGACTTCGCTCCCAGGCGTGGACTGTGAGCGGTAGACGAGGGCGCAAAGTCGGGCGGCATGTTGCTTGCAGGCATCAGCATATCGTCCGGAGTCGGGTGACGCTTCGATTGAAGATGACAAGAATTGATAGTTCAGGAGTAGTCCGTAGTGGTAGTAGCCGAGATACACAGCTACAAACATACGCCCAAGGCCACGCGATGCGAAGGCTGTCAGGTTTGCTGGCGTGTCACGCATATGGTGCGGGATTTCCTCCAACCAGATATCGAGATCGCGGGATAGTTCGCGTATCCCTTTCTCAAGCGGTAGGCCTTCAAGGTGTTCTGACACGCACAGTCGATTGAAGTCGATGATCCTCGCTAGAATCCGATTGAGCTTGATCATCTCCGCGAGAAGAGGTGAGGTGATGCCATGCGTTTGGTCGCTGATAGCCCCGTCGTTCATCATAGAGAACGGTATCTCATCAATTGGAAGAGGCACAGCAGTGTCAAACGGCATAATTCGCGGTAGTCTCACCGCAGTAGACGACCAAACATCTACCATGCACAGTGTCCACCAAGTTCTGATGTTGACTTCGCGCTCTACCAGACTTGTGACGGGTCGATTTGGTAGATCGAGGGCCAGACAAAGTCGTCCACCTATGCTGTAGTACATGTTTTCGACATCCGTCTCACCACCCGCAGCAGCGTATGCGCCCAGTAAAACGCATGCTTGAATTGTGGTAGGCGTGAGGTCGCGCATATTGAACAATCTTTCGCTTGCCTTGCGGTAGACCTCGCCTCTTTCTCTCGGATCAGTTCCGTCGAAGAAGCTGTCGGTAGAGAACCTGGCAGCCAGCGCACATATCGCGAAAAGCACGATAGACTGTACTCGGTCGTTCACGACATCGTCCATGAACGAGACCTTGTGGTACATGGAGTGGAACTGGTCATGGATGTAGTCGAAGTATAGCTCCACCAGCGCTCGTCTCAAGGCAGTCGGAGGCAGGTCGCCATGACCTTGATTTGGCAGTGCTTTCGCTTGTTCTAAGGACGCTCGATGTACCTGACTCAATTCTTGAAGTCTAGCCCGGCGTTTGGCATAGTAACCTCCCTCTGGTGGGCCTTGGAGACACTGCAGACCATGTGACAAGCAATACTCGCATGCCGTTGCGAGCCCGCCTGTTGGGTAGATGCATTTTCGGCGTCGGGTACTTCCAACCGAATTAGCGGGCGCTCGCCTCCACTGGAGATGCTTACCGGCACGCTTGACAGGCGGATGGTTTGCGCATGGCTTCCAAGGTTGTCGCGCACGTGTCTGAGAGGAAAAGTCTTGTGGAATACTCAGAGAACAGAGGAGAAGAGCGTTCAAAAGCGGGTCAACTTGGCTCGTGCAGGTGCTGACCTCGGCTCTAGCGTTGCATCGGAAGTTGAAACCACGCTCGGGCTAACAACGGACAGTTCTCACCAAACAACAACAACACTGCGAGAGACCAATTCAACCAGTCAGTCTTATTCAGAGCACTTCCTTACTTCTGTCGTCTTCTGGGTACTTCTCTGTAATTTTATAGCGCGTAATGGGAAGAAGATGAAGCATTGCCGCGAGTCCTACTTCTGCGCCCTGGCTTCCAAGGTTTCTTTGCAACACTAGAGTCGGGACGGGTCCGCCAAGTGAGCGCGATGTTAGCGCGTGCGGGAAAGTCCAGGAAAACTTTCTTGAAATCCTCTCGCGATTTGGTGTCCGGGCAAACCTTGTCGGCGTTCTGATTGGCTTCATTTGCGCACTTGACGCCTCGTCTCCCCATGGGCACTCTTGTTACGAGTCTCCTTCCCCGCAAGTCACCGTGGTCTTACCCATTTTGGTCATTACCGGGGCTTAGCCTCCCAAGCTCTCGGGCTAGTCTTTTGGCTCCTGTTAATGGGTTCACCTGTCAGGCATGCATACCACAGCGCTGGGGACTATATAGACCGCAGATCCGTACTTGTGGTTAATCTGCATCTTCTCAGCCCATCAACACCGAAGAGCCATCTCTGATACAGGGCATTCTCTGGACTTGATTCATTATGGCTTCAGTAGAGAAGACTACTGGCCATGTGGCCGCCGAAAGGGTCACCTCGACACAAGGACACAACACCGGAGACGACACCAACGCGGCTATCAACAATGAGCACAACATGTCCGTCCGACAGTCCTTGAGGTTCTGGTGGAAGGCCATCGTCTTTTCTTTCGTCATTTCGCTCTGCGTTGTGATGGAGGGATACGATACCAGTCTTATGAACAAATTCTTCGCCTTCCAGCCCTTCCGTAACAGGTTCGGCGATGAAGTCGATGCGGATGGCAACAAGCTTGTGTCTGCGAGGTGGCAGACCATCATCCTCAATGGAACACAGGTACGCAGATTTTCGATGAGCATGCCCAGGTGTCGACTGAAAGAGCTCTACTGACACAGGCATAGGTCGGATGCATTCTCGGTCTCATCATCAACGGCTACATCACTGAATGGATTGGATACAAGAAGACCATGATTGCCAGCATGCTGTTCATGACCGCTGCCATCTTCATCCCGTTCTTCTCTACAGGACTGGAGATGTTCCTCGTCGGAGGTATCATCCAGGGTCTTCCATGGGGTGTCTTTCAGACACTTGCGATCTCGTATGCTGCGGATCTCTGCCCTATGCACCTCAGAGGATACATGACCTCGTGGATCAACATGTGCTGGGTTATCGGCGGTCTTCTGTCCACCGGTATTCTCACTGGTCTGATGCAGAACACCACTCAATGGGGCTACCGCGTTCCTTTCGCTCTCCAGTGGATCTGGCCCATTCCCATCATCGCGGCTACCTTCCTTGCACCAGAATCGCCATGGTGGTTGGTCCGACAAGGTCGCATCGATGAGGCCAAACAAGCTATTCGCGCAATCACGACACCCACAGAAGGCATCGAGTTCGACCTTGACGCGCACGTGGAGATGATGGTTGTTACCGATCAGTACGAGAAGCAAGTCGGCTCTGGAACCAACTACTGGCATTTGTTCCAAGGAAGCGATCTACACCGTACCGAGGTCTCTGCCATGGCTTTCATCACTCAAGCTCTTTGCGGTGTTCCCTTCATGGGCTTCGGGTAAGTCTCTGCACAACTGGCTGACGTGGCAATCATACTGACTTTGCCAGAACACAATTCATGCAAGGAGTTGGACTTAGCCAAGACGACTCTTTCCATCTTACCATTGGTCAAGACTGCTTGGGACTCGTTGGATGCTTCATCGCCTGGTGGATCATGACACGCTTTGGTCGACGACCTATCTACCTCGTTGGATTGACTGCCATCTTCATCATTCTTATGATCGTCGGTTTCATCGGCCTTGCACCACCGACCAACAAAAGCGCCAGTCTTGCTGGAGGTGTTTTGATCATTCTGATGATCTTCTGCTTCCAGGTAAGTCTTTGCATTCCTCAAGCCACCAGACCAAAGCTAACTTAATCAGCTCTCTCTTGGGCCAATCTGCTACTCCCTCGCTGCCGAAATCCCCTCATCGCGTCTCCGTGTTAAGACTGTTGCCCTCTCTCGTGCTTCCTACAACTCCATCGTATTCGTTACAAACACAATCATGCCGAAGATGGTCGGCAAGAACGACTGGAACTGGGGCGCCAAGGGTGGCTTCTTCTGGGCTGGCATTGCGCTACTGTTCATCCTTTGGGGATACTTCCGTCTTCCCGAGGCGAAGGGCTTCACCTACTCTGAGCTCGATCTCATGTTTGAGCACAAGGTTTCTGCACGCAAGTTCACGCGCGAAGCAGCGGATTCACTGAAGCCTACTTTGACGGAGACTGCGATGCAGTATGAGAAGCAGAATGGTGTTGAGCGCGTTGAGTCCCATGCATAGATATTAGTCAAGTTGGTTGTCAGACATCTTGGTCAATTATGCCGCGACTGAGTAGGCTTTCATGCTCTACCGAATAATATACTATCTTCAATAACTGAACTCTCTGTCCATTCCCGTCGCACCCGGCCCCAAGCGTTGCAATCTCTTGTTTCGCCACTGGTAGTAAAATCTCAACCCAACACAGCCGACAGCAACCATGACCAACATTCCAAAGTTCGTCCAATGGCCAGTAGGATATCCTCGCTCTTTCTCGTTCGCCTTGTAGATCCATACGCCAACAATTTGACCTGGAGCTCCCCAAGAGACATTCAATGCAATGGCCAACCCTGCAGCGGCGGTGCTGTGCATGTTGTTGCTCAACCAGCCAAGCAGCGGGGGAATACAAGAGAAAGCTCCACTGGCCGCAACGATCAAACATCCATAGCGCGCATGGAAAGACTCAGCCGGAAGAAGGGCCGATGCCAGAAAGCCGATTGCGCCAATAGTCGCCAGGACAGCTGAGTGCAACGCGCGGGCGTTGAAGTAGTCCGATGACCAAGCTGTGACTATCGAAACAACGTATGCCACGGCGTAAGGTGGTACTGTCATTAGCTGCGCCTGAAGGTTCTCGTAGCCCAACCCTGCAGTAATTGTCGGAGTGAAGAGCGAAAGCGAGCTGAACGGCGCTGAGATACCGAAGTAGATGATGTAGTGCACCCAAAGTCGGCCGTCAAGTAGGGTTGCCTTTGCGGTTTCCCAGTTCAACGACGGCGCATCACCTTTTGATCCTTCTTTCTCGAGCCGTGCGACTGCTAGTGCGCGATCGGATGTCGATAACCAAGAAGCCTCCTCGGGATAATCGGGTAGGAAGAGCCACACGGCTACTGATGAGACGCAGGAAGGGATGCCTTCGAGGATGAATAGCCACCTTGTAAGATGTCAGTATATGTGCCACATGCGTGATATACAGCGCGACTCACCTCCATGCAGAAAGACCCTGGACCTGCTTCATGTGTCCAACGCCATACGCAATCGCACCACCAAACGCACCGGCGAGCGTCGCGCTCGCCAGGATGATAGCAACACGCATACTCCTCTCTTGCGCACGATACCAAAACGTCAAATAGTACACCAACCCCGGAAACAATCCCGCTTCAAACATACCCAACAAGAACCGCACAGCGGTAACAGTCGCATAGTTGTTCGCGCCACCCAGCCCAATCGTGCACGCGCCCCAGCCAAACATGAGAAAAGCAATCCAGCGACTGGGTTTCAATTTCTTCAAGAAGTAGTTGCTGGGTACTTCGAACACGGCGTACGCGACAAGGAAGACCATGAGCGCAATGGTGTATTGGTAGTTTGTCATGTTGGCTTCTTGCAGGAGGGATTCTCCGGCGTTGGCATTGAGAGTTTTGGCATTGCCGATGTTGGATCTGTCGAGGAAGCAGAGGAGGTAGATTCCTGCTGTGAGGGGGATGATGCGAAGATCTTGTTTCCAAACTAGGGCGCGAACTGCTGCGGTGTCGTAATTCTCTGGTGCATCGCTGTGTTGGGAGTCCTGAGAGTTTTTGGAGTCCTGTTGACAGTATTAGAAAGCAAATCATGAACATCGCCGAATGAATTCATACCGAAACTCTCTGCAAGTCTTTCTCGCACGCGTCGACATCGTTCGGAAGCGCCATCTTGCCGTCCGCCTGCCCGTTTTCTCAGAAAAGACAATGTCGCAACGCAAACAGAGAAGCAGCAAGCAAGGCTGCAGACGAAGCAATATGCAAAGACATTGGCACCATCTTAAGCGCCACCAAGCAAATGCTTAAATCGCTTACCGCCCTTCCGCTTACCATCTGTTGACCCTTTGGATTAACGGAAGAAGGAAGGGATGAGCGGGCTAATGCGGTTTCGTCAGTAAGCCCCGCGCTGGAGAGAAGTTATGACTAGCCGAATGGCCCGAATCCCCAACGATGTCCCTGACAGCGCGTTATCTCAACAAACTTTTAACGAAGTAGAGCTCGGGAGATGCGCACTCATGCCAGAATACAATGTGGTCTTGTTTCGCGCTAGGTATTAGAGTTGTACATTGATGTACGAAATACGAGGTGTTTCGCGACAGAGTCGAACGCGTCATCGCGGTACCGTGGTGCTGGCTCTCTATTACGATACCTCTTATATGCGACTTTACGGACCGCTCGGCCTCCGAAGTCGAAAGATAACGCGTCGCATAGTCCAGTTTCGTCTCTTTCACAATTATTATCACATGGAAACGGGTTCGCTAGACCGAGGCTCTCTTTCAACAAGCTAGATTCGATCGAGGTACATCTCAGGGTAAGCTTGCTGCAAAGAACGAGTGGAAGAGCTGGAGTCATCTGAACATCTATGGGTGAGTCCTCTTATTGCTACGATGCTACTCTATCTATTACAGGCCCTTCGGATATTATCATAAGCTGCTTTGTCCACGCACCGAAGAGCTTCTCTCGAATCTACTCGCCCAGGTTCTGCTGGAAGAACGCGGTGAGCCTGTTGAACGGGATCAAGTCGACGCGATCGTACAGGTCCACATGCCCGGCGCCCGGAATCCAGATCAACTCCTTCGGCTCTGCAGCAGCGTCGTATGCGTCCTGACTGAACTCGCGAGAGTGTGCAATGTCGCCGGAGATGAACATCACTGGACGGGGAGAGATGGTATCGAGGTCGCTGAAAGGGTAGAAGTTCATGAACTTGGTCTGGCTGGAAAGCGTCGGGTACGTGGTGAGGTTTGGCGCTGATCCTGCAGGTGTGAACTCTCCGCGAGACGTGCGATAGAAGTCGTAGAATTCGCGTCCCACTGGATCGGTCTCGTTGGTGACTGCCTGAGGAGTTCCGCCGGTGTACTCCGACTCTCCACCACTGGCTTCAACCCAGCGCTGCGCCGCCGCGGTCGCGATGACCTGCTTACGTTGTTCGAGGCTCTGAGCTCGCTGTAGACCGTTGCGGGTTACTGCACCCATATCGTACATGCTTGCTGTTGCGATAGCCTTTATACGCGGGTCGATTTTTGCTGCACTCAAAACGAATGAGCCGCTGCCGCAGATGCCAATGGCACCAATTCGCTCGCGGTCGATGTAGTCCTGGAGGCCTAGGTAATCAACTGCAGCGCTGAAGGTCTCGGCGTAGACGTCAGGATGGACGACATTGCGCGGCTCGCCGTCACTGCCGCCCCAATACGAAACGTCGACTGAGATAGTGACGAAACCCTGCTCAGCCATCTTCGTAGCGTACAGGTTGGCGGACTGTTCCTTCACAGCCCCCATTGGGTGGCCAACAACGATGGCAGAAGCATTGATGGTGCGATCGAGGTTGTCGGGTAGAAAGAGGTTGCCAGCGACAGTCATCTGGTAGAGACTGGGGAAGGTGATCGGCCACATTGTGACGTTGTCGCTGCGGTAGAAGTTGTTGGCTCCATATGACATATTTTGTGCCGTAGCAGGAAGCATCTGAAGAAGGGCCACGAAGGCTACAGATGTGACGGCGGACAGCGGCATCTTCTGAACGTTGAGATGGTAGAATGTATGCTGAGTCGATTGGCGTGGATGCGAAAGCTATGTGTGATGCTCTTCACAGTCGCAACACACCGTTCTTATATCTCATCAACATGAGCTCCAGTAATCTGCACTGCCATGTCTTGCGTCACCCTATCTCATGGATATTGTGTTGAGACCAGGGCGTAGTGGGCGTTTTCCTCCGCCCTTCTCTCGCCGCTGAGCTTGGCATGCAAAGAGCTGACATGACGATGGCCGAGATATGGCGGGCAGCACGTCCGCGCACCAAGGTTGATAATGAGAAAGGACTCAGGACTCCTATACTAGTGTCGTTAATTCCTTGGTTGTCGCCAGGTCGACGGCAAGCAGAGATAGTAATCAAGGTGACTAGTACACCAGTAGAGGCAGGAAGCACAAGATGACAAGACCGATGCAATTACCGTACGATGCTCAGCCACGATAGAAGACGGTGCTTGCTGTTGCGCGTTCGATATTGTTTCTGTGAAAGTGACGTCTTGGCTCACTGCAGCCAGCTGACAGCCTTAAGTCCATCCGCCACTAAGTCGAAATAGGCTTAGTATGTGCAGGCCGCACGTGCATCACAGTGGCAGTCGTCTACCAAGATTCTGTGCACGACCATCATCATCCTTTGATTTCATCATCGCAAGTCGAGGGACCGCCAATATCCATCACAGATCATGCGCTGCTATTTGATGCGTACAAAGAAGCGCGATCTCCAAGGCTCTCATTTCCCGAAGAACTTTCCCGTCGCGTCCATTCAGCGGCCACTTCATCACGCTCGAATCGCGTCGTCCTTCGCTATTTGACAAGCTCCAACGATGATGCTCTATAGTCATACAGATTACGATACGGCACCAGCCATGCGAATGTAGCGAGACTATTGTCGGTCAATGAGACCTTCAGCGCTTTGTACAACAAGGTAACAATGGCGCCCGACGACATGTATCAGTAGTCCTTTACGCTATGTTCACAGTGCAGTTGAACCGGTCGATTTAAGTCGCGCGCGCAAGTCACGATCAACAGACCAGAAAGCCCTTCCTGTACCGAACACAGACTTCCCAGCCGAGCATCAACAACACCATGGCTCCTAACTTCATCGCAGAGCGCGTTGACCCTTGCCAAGGCTTACCAGTCCACATCCTGATGTGTGGCCACACCGTCCAAGCTTCCTTTCTCCACCTGAAAGATTCATCAAGATGCGCACCAAACTGCAGAGACGTCAACATATGCACGCACGCCGAGCCAAACTTTCTCTGTCCTACATGCTATGCTTCTGAACTTCACCGCAAGTACCGCAAATTCATGGATGACTGCCGGGCCGAAAATACGACAGGCACATATCCAAAAAACCTGTATGCCACTATAGAACGTACCGACGGAGTTTATAACGCACTTGACGATTTCGAAAACCAAGAGCACTCCCTCTGGTGTGAAGTGGGCCTAGGGAAGGTAAAGTTTGAGAAGGCTGTGGTCATCAGCTACAAGAGGAAGATTGAAGCTAAAGGGCTGAGGGAATGCAAAGTTGTGGATGAGTGCGCATAGTATGTTGATTATGCACGAGATGGACGTAGCGCTGCCTTGACTGTGATATAGACCTGATGCCTGAGCTTTCAGACCGCACCATCTTTGTTTCAGGTATTCTTTGCTATAAAAAATACAACAACTCCGTCACGGCATACATCTTCTCCATCATCATCGATCTCATCAAAAATGGCTAGCTCCTTCGGTGACCAGCTCTTATCGCTCGTTTTTTAAAAGTTTAACGGGACAAAATCATTATCAAGTCCTATCCTCGTAACGTAGATCCCAGTTCGCCTTCGTCTTCTCCCTATCGTACTCCTTCCCCGCCCAGGGTGTACCACAAACGTGCAAATGAGCGTACGGCGTTTTGTCGAACATGACCCAGGCACCCTGGTCGCGAATCGTATCCGGAAACCCATCACGTTCAGCTTCGAAAGGCCATAAAATCATATAGTGCGGCCCGATGGGAATAGCTGGGCTCGTTCGGTCTGCCGGATTCGTGGTAGTGTGCTGATTTGCTCCGCACAACATGTATATGAGACCTGGCGCAGTGTTCGTAGGTGCTGGCTTCGCGGCATAGGCATCTTGGATCCACTGGAGACCCATGGGGTCGGCGCACATCGGGACATTGCCGACTGTGTTCTCGTTTCCGGGGAAGGCTGTCCAGTGGTTTGTTCCTTCTCGTAGTATGACTAGTTTTCGGTCGGGGCCCCAGTGGCTCCAATCGGCGATGGTGGCATTCTTGGTGATGGATATGGGTCCAGATGCGAGGGCGCGATTGATCTTGCAAGCGAGTGCTTCTTCTTCTGGGGTGGGTATTTCGCCTTCTCCTCGGGGGGTCAGTGGGTTGGGTACGCAGCACTGGAAAGCGCTGTTGTATACGAAAGAAGCCATATGTGAATGTTGGGAATGTGGTGTTCATTTCTCGACACTGTAGGAACACGACGGTCTATATACCTAGGTAGTCACCGGGATAGAGAAGGTTTGAACCGTTCTAATGGGTACATGTTGACTAGTGATCGCGTCCAAATGCTCATGCCGAGTGACCTCGGAATTCAGTGCGCGAAGCGGGGACTGCAGTGGTCGAAAGTTCATGACTATTGCGACATCCGTCGATCCGTCATATCGACCGACGCGTCCTTGCGAGGATAGGACCTTGTGCGACACGGTGGCAACAACGGTGCGGTCTTTTCATTGCGCTGGTGCCGACAGTACGCAATATAGACAAATTGCGCGTTCTTTGCCTCGAGTTTTGGAGAGCGCGCGACGACGCGATGTTTGATGTTTGGGGCATGCAGACGCGTGGACGCGTACCTCCATGGGCAGGTACGCACAGGCCACATCGATGTGCGAGCGGAAGTCCGGGTACACCTTCATCGCTGTTGACTTGCAACATGCACCAGACAGATCGCAAGTCTAGTCGCCCAGCAAACACCGCTGTCTACTAACACATGAGAAAGTCCGGTTTCTAGAACTCTACTACTGCCATCGCTATCATGCAGCTAGCCGATGATCGTCAGGGAGGGGTCAGGACTGACGTAGACACCATCGAACACCTCTCACAGCGCGACGACTGATACGACTGACATGACCTCGGGAGATTGAAAGGGAATAAATGACGGCCG